GCACGGGAATACAGTTCAAGTTCAGCAATCAGGCGCCCACCTGAAGAGCACGGGAATACAGTTAAATCTTTGGAAATCAGGCGCCAGCCTGGAGAGCACATGAATACAATTAAAGTTCTGCAATCAGGCGCCCACCTGGAGAGCACAGGAATATAGTTCAAGTTCAGCAATCAGGTGCCCACCCGGAGAGCACGGGAATATAGTTCAAGTTTGGTAATCAGGTGCCCACCTAGAGAGCACGGGAATACAGTTTAAGTTCGGTAATCAGGCGCCCACCTGGAGAGCACGGGAATAGTTAAAGTTTTGGCAATCAGGCGCCCACCTGGAGAGCACGGGAATAGTTAAAGTTTTGGCAATCAGGCGCCCACCTGGAGAGCGCGAGAATACAGTTCAAGTTCAGTAATCTGGCGCCCACCTAGAGAGCACGGGAATACAATTAAAGTTTTAATAATCAGGTGCCCACTTGGAAAGCAGGGGAATAAAGTTCAAGCGTTGTAATCAGGCGCCTACCTGGAGAGAAAGGAGTACATCTAAGGTTTTGATAATCAGGCACCCACCTGGAAAGCAAGGGAATACAGTTAAAGTTTTGGTAATCAGGCGACCACCTAGAAAGCAAGGGAGAACAACACCAGTTTTAAGGAAGGGAAAGCAATTCAAGTGTCGGTAATCATGAGCCCACCTGGAGAACATAGCAGTTCAAGTGTTGGTAATCAGGAGCCCACCTGGAGAACAAAGTAATTCAAGCGTCGGTAATCAAGAGCCCACCTGGAGAACAAAGCAATTCAAGCGTCGGTAATTAGGAGCCCACCTGGAGAACAAAGCAATCTAAGCGTCGGTAATCAAGAGCCCACCTGGAGAACAAAGCAATCTAAGCGTCGGTAATCAGGAGCTCACCTAGAGAATAAAGCAATTCAAGTGTCGATAATCAGGAGCCCACCTGAAGAAAAAAGTAATTCAAGTATTGGTAATCAGGAGCCCACCTGAAGAAAAAAGTAATTCAAGTATTGGTAATCAGGAGCCCACCTGAAGAATAAAGCAGCAATTCAAGTGTTGGTAATCAGGAGACCACCTGAAGAACAAAGGGAAAGCAGCAAGTTTTGAAGAAGACAGGTCAAGTATTGGCAATCAGGCGCAATTCAAGTCAGCAACAAAAGAAGTTAGCGGCAAGAATGCGAGTCAATAGTCCGAGGGGATCAATAGAAGTTAGTCACAATAAAGAAAAAAAAGAGATAAAGGCAAGAAGTTAATCCAAATGCAGAAGTTGATGAAAGATATGGGTTGCCCAAAGACTTGGCCGAGGTCACAAGCACTACATGTCCGGTCTTGATCCGAAAATCTAAAGAAGAATGAGCTAGCACCTGCAACTAGCAAGCGTCAAGGTTCAAATCCAAAGTTTGCATGAAGAACAATTCAAGACTTAAGATCAAACTTCGGAAAAATTATAGATAGGAATCTTGTAACTCGTAGTGGACAGGCTTAGCTAGTCTTTTTCATTTCTTTTGATTTTGATGTAATAACAGGACCGTGGACCGGAACCTCGGCGGAACGGCACCTCGACCGGCTCTCCACCTCGGCATACTCCATCATCTCACTCAACTCTGAACTACACATGGCCTGATTCCTTTATAGCCAAGGATATGTAGGTAGCTCAGATACTAGGGCTCGGTCACATTCCTCTTTTCTCTTACTTTTGGTCTCTTTAAATAAGGGTCGGGTCAAAAAACCTTTCTAGTCATTTTTTGTCTGAAAACTCTTCGTGTTTTCAGTTAAACAGGGGCAGCTGTAGACATGTGATTTTTGACCCTCTCCAAGAATTTTTTATATTTTAGCACGTAAATATTTAATTTAGGCCTAATATAGCTATTTCAACTCACTTTTACTCTTTTACTTTTATTTTATTACAAGAAAATAAAAATTACAAAAAAATAGGTTCATTAATGTTTTATAGTCATTTTTAATCTTGAAAAATACCAAACAAAAGGTTTTGTTTTAATGGTCGGTCTTATTTTAATAGTTATTTTACTTAAGTATGATTAATTAGTAAATGAGGTCGTACTTTTAGTCTCGCTCGCGGAGAAAGAATGAAATTTGGGTTCGAACAACCCATTTTTAGGCCTAGTATTTGGACCTAGCCCATAATTCCTAGGTCCATACCCCTTAGCCTAAAAAACCCTACAAATACCTAGATCCCTACCCTATATAAAGACCAACCTAAAACGCCTAAGGGGGGGAGCGCAAATACATACATAAATAAAGGCTGCGTCGTAGAACCAAAATAACGACCCCACCCCCTGAAGATCATCGTCTTCACCCCACCCAAACGACCTTATCAACTTGATTCTTCTTCAACATAAAACAAGCACCGGACCCTTAAGCATCATCCATGAAACAAAGAAGATCATCTTCTTAACAAAACACCCCCCCAAAAACCTAGAGTCATCAGAAATGTACACGCACAGAGGCAGCCATCGTCGTGACTCCATAACCACTGCTAGACCTCCGTTCACCACGAGTCTGCCATCTCCGATGAACACACACACACACACACACACTACTATCGTTCCACCCTCTCATACCTGCCACTACCATAACTGGCTGGCAATCCAGCAGAAACAGTGACAAAAACGTGAGAGGTTTCCAATCATCGAGCCATCGAGGTCATCATCGAAATTTCTAGTCCAAGTCCATGTTGCCGATGTTCTGTTGAAGTCATCTTACAGGGGTATGTTTTCTTATGTTTGTATTCTCCGGATCCGATTGAACGTAAAATTACGATTGCTTCACCTTACCTTATTGGTTACTATTGTTTAGATCTATCGTTTGGACGCTAATGTTGTGGCGTTTATTATTTATCTATTGAAATGTTTCTCTAGATAGGTGATGTTAGTTGTTAATGTTGAGTTTCTAATTTCATAAGATATAACTGAACGTGTTGCTATTTATTTATTTATTCTATTCTAATATCATTGTTCTTCTTCTTTGAAAAAATAAATACATAATTAGGACCCTTTCGCCTAAGCTCATAAATCGGAATGAGGTCTAACTAAAATCGGGTATTGTATTTTAGTTGCTTGTATCTTGGCAGAGCAATTTCAATTATTGTCGTATGCATCCATGGTAGGTGCTTGAGAATTTAGCAGTAGTACATGAATGCCTGGGAAAAGTATTGTGTCCTTGGGTAGTTTGTTTAGGAAAATAAGCATGAGCCTTCGCAGTTTGCTTTTAGTAATTAATTCATCGCAATTATGGGTACGGTTCCCGTGGCGTAGTTGTGATGCCCAATTTCAAATTAGTTTAAATATGAATATCTGTAGTTTACTTTAGTTGAGTATAATCCTTTAAAATTAGAATCAAGGTGTGCCATTAGTTGAATATTCCATGGACCTCATAAACTTGAAAGTGTGTAGTTGCTTTAAGCGCGCTACTTAAAAAATTACTTCCTAAACTCGGGTGTGCATTTATGTGACCCAAATCCAAATCTCAACAACGTTAAATAAAATGTGTCATGGACCGTGGGTGCATTTATGTGGCGTGGTTCAAGATGTGTTTTAAATGACGTTGAAATCTTCCTTAAAATAATTAAAAGCGGTTAAAAAGTTAAAATGCACATAGGCTAAAACATGCATTAAAATCAGATAATAGGCCAATTATAATAGTTGAGCGACCGTGCTAGAACCACGGAACTCGGGAATGCCTAACACCTTCTCCCGGGTTAACAGAATTTCTTACCCAGATTTCTGTGTTCGCGGATTGTAAAATAGAGTCAATCTTTCCTCGATTTAGGATTTGAAACCGGAGACTTGGGACACCATAAATTATCCCAAGTGGCGACTCTGAATTTTTAATAAAATAATATCATTTCAATTGTCACTTTAAGTTGGAAAAAACTCCTTATACTACCCCTTCCGGGGGTGTAGGTAAAAAGGAGGTGTGACACCCGCTATTATGAAAATGCTCGAGGAGCTCTCCAAAAGGATAGATACCGGAGAAAAGAAAATTGAGAAAAATGACAAAAAGGTGGAAACATACAACTCGAAGGTCAATCAAATACCGAGAGCATCTCCAATTTTGAAAGCACTAGACTCGAAGAAGTTCGTGCAAAAGCCATTCCGCCAGAGCATAGCTCCAAAGCCCATCCCGAAGAAATTTCGGATGCCAAATATCCTGAAATACAACAAAACCACTGATCCCAACGAGCACATCACCACATACACTTGTGGCATAAAAGGGAATGATTTGGAAGATGATGAGATTGAATCTAGTTTGCTAAAAAGGTTTGGGGAAACTCTATCTAAAGGTGCCATGATTTGGTACCATAACCTACCCCCAAACTCTATTGACTCGTTTGCCATGCTGGAAGACTCGTTTGTGAAGGCACATGCTGGTGCCATAAAAGTTGCAACAAGGAAGTCCAATGTATTCAAAATAAAACAAAGGGAACACAAGACTCTGAGGAAGTTTGTATCCCGTTTCCAGTCAGAACGAATGGAGTTACCTCCAGCCTCCGATAACTGGGCCATACAAGCTTTCACTCAGGGGCTGAATGAATGAAGCTCAATAGCTTCGAAGCAGCTGAAGTAGAACTTGGTTGAATATCTCGCTGTGACTTGGGCGGATATGCATAATAGGTACCAATCAAAGATTAGGGTCGAGGATGACCAGTTGGGAGCTCCCCCTCNCTCCCCCCCCCCCTCCTGGGCTCAATTTATTCGAGCAGGTTACTAACAAGGGAGTCAGGAAATGCTAACATGGGGCAAGATCGAATAAGGAAAGATATTAGCCATACGTCGAGGATCGAAAGAACATGTCAAAGCATAACATACTTTGGAATGATCGAAGAGTAGATCAAGGTTAAAGTTCCCAGGGACTCATGAGCAAAACTGGGTTTGATAGGCATTTGGGACCGCAGAGGCACCCAGATTATCAGAGTACAACTTCAGCATGGATGCCTCAATGATCTTCTCAGCCATTAGCAAAATTAGAGATACTAGATGGCCCAAGCCTATACAGACCGATCATTCTCAGAGGAACCCCAACATGATGTACAAATATCATAGCACTCATGGGCACATGACCGAAGATTGCAGGCAGTTAAGGGAAGAAGTGGCTAGGTTATTCAATGAGGGCCACCTTCGAGAATTCCTAAGTGAGTGGGCTAAGAATCACTTTAAGGAGAAATATACAGGAAGGAATAATGAACCTGAAGAACCTCAACATGTCATTCACATAATCATCGGTGGAGTCGACGTCCCACAGGGGTTTATATTCAAGCGTACCAAAGTATCCATCACAAGGGAGAAACGAACTCGGGATTACATATTTGCGGATACCCTCACATTCTGCGAGGAAGATATTGAGGCCTTATCTCAACCTCACAATGATGCACTGGTAAATTCTATCCTTTTAATTAAAGTTCAAGTTAAACGTGTTCTCGTGGATCCAAGTAGTTTGGCAAATATAATCCGGTTAAGGGTCATGGAGCAGCTCGGGCTATCGGTCAAATCATACCGGCATCTCGAGTCTTGAATGGCTTTAACATGGCAAGTGAAACAATAAAGGGAGAAATCATCCTCCCAGTCAATATGGCTAGAACCATAAAAGACACCAAATTTCATGGCATCGAAGGTGACATGAGGTATAATGCTATACTCGGAAGGCCGTGGATCCATAGCATGAGGGCGGTGCTATCGACCCTCCATCAGATGATGAAGTTCCCGACAAAGGATGGCGTGAGAATAGTCTATGGAGAGCAGCAAGCATCTAAGGAGATGTTTGAAATGCATGACTTGGCACCGGTATCGGCACCATCCACATTAGAAAATTCGAAAGATGAACAGGTGGCCAAATAGCAATCACAACCTGTGCCCTCTATTGAGTCCGAGAGACAGGTGTCCGATGAACAGGTTGCTGAGGATGAAGAAAAAGATTTTCTCACCCCTCGAGCCTTCATTTATCCCAAAGAATCGGATGCGACGAAGTCCACGATCGAGGAACTCGAGCATGCCATATTGATTGAGCATCTCCTAGAACGAAAGGTATACTTGGGGACGGGGTTAAACCCCAAACACGGGAAAAAACTCATTCAATTTCTTATCGATAACATTTATTGTTTTACCTGGTCCCACTTAGACATGATAGGAACCCCAACCGGAGATAACTACCCATCGACTAAGTGTTGATCCTAGATTTAAACCGATGAATCAAAAGAGGAGACCTCAGTCCGAGGTAAATCATGCATTCATCAAAGAAGAGGTGTCCAAATTTCTCAAAATAGGATCCATTAGGAAGTAAAATATCCTGAATGGCTAGCTAACGTAGTGGTAGACCCTAAAAAGGGGGATAAACTTAGAATGTGTGTAGACCAGAAAGATTTGAACAAAGCATGTCCTAAAGATTCTTTCCCACTGCCCAACATCAATCGATTGATCGATGCTACGGCTGCTTATGAGATTCTTACCTTTCTCGATGCCTACTTTGGGTAAAATCATATTCAAATGAACCCGGAGGGCCAGGAAATGACTTTGTTCATCATGAAGTATGGTACATATTGCTATAATGTAATGCCCTCCAGGCTAAAGAACGCATGAGTCACCTATCAATGCCTAGTTAATAAAATTTTTGGACACCAATTAGGCAAATATATGGAAGTTTATATTAATGACATGCTAGTTAAGTCTCTGCATGCAAAGGACCATTTAACTCACTTGCAGGTGACATTCAACATCCTAAGAAAGTACAACATGAAGCTCTACCCTGAGAAGTGAGCTTTCGGAGTCAGCTTGGGCAAGTTCTTAGGCTTCATGGTGTCGAACAGGGGGATAGAGATCAACCCCGATAAAATCAAATACATCGAGGAGATCACCATGGTGAACAACGTGAAAGCCGTACAACGGCTGACCGGGAGGATAGCTGCCCTAGGTCAATTTATCTCAAGGTCATCAGATCGGAGTTATCATTTCTTTTCCCTACTCAAGAAGAAGAACAACTTCGTATAGACCCCGGAATGCCAACAAGACTTGGAAGAATTAAAATGGTACCTCTCGAGCCCACCCCTGCTCCATACTCCAAAGGAAGATGAAACGCTCTACTTGTATCTAGTCGTGTCCGAGGTGGCAGTAAGTGGCATGTTGGTTCAGGAAAAGCAAGTATACAATTCCCTACCTATTATGTGAGTCGGACCCTAGGAGATGCTGAAACCAGGTACCCCCATTTGGAAAAGTTAGCTCATGCATTAATAAGTGCATCTAGGAAACTAAAACCATATTTTCAATGCCATCGTACATGTGTGCTGACCATGTACCCACTTCGAAATGTCTTGCATAAACCCAAATTATCGGGTAGGTTGTCCAAATGGGCCATCGAACTTGGAGGATATGATATCGAATATTAGCCTCGAACAGCAATCAAGTCCCAATTTTGGCGGACTTCATGGCCGATTTCGTGCCTGCCCTCGTGCCCAAAGTAGAAAAGGAACTTCTATTAAAAAAAGGGTATGTCGTGGAGGGTATGGACACTTTTCACAAATGGTGCCTCGAATGTGAAAAGGTCCGGGCTCAGCATCGTTTTAAAACTGCCTAAGGGCAGTGTCATTAGGAAATCTATCAAAACTTCTAAGTTGACTAAAAATGAGGTCGAGTATGAGGCCATGATTGCAGGTCTTGAACTAGCCAAGAAAGTTTCGAATCCAATTTGGATATTAAAAGGATTACCAGATATAACACAAAATCTCCCCTCCTATTCCTTCTAGTCGAGCCTCGTGGTCTATCATTATACCTCGAGAACTAGAAAGAATTGCAATCCCCATTCCACCTAAAATTCGCGGAATTCATTGATAATTAGAATAGATTCGTAGACCAGGTCGACTGATTCGTTTTAAATTTAAAGTTATAAACAAGATAAATCTAGCTTTACCTGGCACCGTTGGTAGAAGGCCAGCGATGTCCTTCCCCCATTTCATGAACGTCCATGGGGATTGGACCGAATGGAGTTGTTCACGCGATTGATGGATCATCCGTGCATATTTTTGGCATTTGTCACTTTTTCGAACGAAGTCCTTGGTATCCTTTTCCATGGTATCCCAATAGTACCCCTCTCTAATCACCTTTCAAACCAGAGAATCTGCACCTGAATGGTTCCCACAAGTACCCTCGTGGACTTCTCGTAGTACGTAATCGGTATCACCGGGTTTTAAGCACACTACCAGTGGTCCATCGAAGGTTCTATTGTACAACATTCCATTTTCATCGAGTGAGAATCGAGTTGCTTTGGTTTGAGGTGTTCTCGACTCATTTGGGTCCGCGGGGAGCTTCCCAGGCTTCAGGTAGTCGATGTAATTATTCCTCCAATCTCATGTTAAACTTGTTGAATTAATCTCTACATGGCCTTCTTCGACCACCAACTTCGATAGTTGGACAACAGTCCCCGGGATGATACCATCTTCTTTAGCCAATGACCCCAAGATTGCAAGTGACCTATTTTGTGAAAAAGAAAAAAGGGGGGTTGTCTAATATCTTTCTTATTAGTTGATACCTCAGGGGGACTTTAAGAACCAAAAAGGAGTCATGAAGCTTTAATTACTGAATCGCTTCCCAACAGTCTGTTGCAGGTTCATTTTGATCTGATTATAAATTATGTTTCACGAAAGATCCAGCATAGTTTTATACGAATACTGCCAGGAATTTACTACTTCTCAAAATGGGTAGAAGCGCATGCCTTCGAGAAAATAAGAGAAGAAGAAGTCATTTACTTTATATGGGACCACATTATATGTCGGTTTGGGGATACCCACCGAAATAGCATGTGACAATGGAAAGCAGTTCATCAGTAGCAAGGTAATAAAATTCCTCAAGGACCATAAAATCAAAAGGATTCTATCTACACCTTACCACCCGAATGCAAATGTCCAGGCTGAGTCCACAAACAAAACAATCATACAAAACTTAAAGAAAAGGTTAGATGATGCTAACCGAGGACTCAAATCACAAAGCTATGAACACTTCTCTCGAACTACTTGATGAAAAACGTGAGGCCACACTGATTCGAATGACCGCACAAAAACAAAGGATCGAAAGGTATTACAACAGAAGTACGAATCTTCGATATTTAAGAGTCGGGGACTTGGTCCTAAGGAAAGTCACTTGAGACCCAAACGAAGGAAAGCTAGGTCCCAATTGGGAAGGATCATACAGTGTCCTCGAAATGGTAGGGAAAGGATCCAACAAACTTAGCACAATGGAAGGTGGGCGACTACCAAACAATTGGAAGGTATCGATGCTCAAGCTATATTACTGCTGAGGTATGACATTCTCCCCTTTTTCATTTATATTTAAAACTAACTTCTTGCAGATGCTCGATTGGAGATATCATGGCATCTTTCAGCTCGAAGGCCTTGGGTTTGAAAGCATGCGTTGCACTCTTTTTTTCTTAGATCGTGTTTTATCCCAAATGGGTTTTACCGACAAGGTTTTTAATGAGGCAACACCTATATGCTACCTGAGGAACATTCAAAAAAGTATTCAAGGCTTCTTTTCAATCAACCTCGAATACTAGGGGGAATCACCCTCAGAGGTTACATTTTTTTGAAAGATACTTCACGCCTAAGAGGGCCTCGATAGGAGAACTTTGTAATAGGCCAAACGGAACCGTGTCCATGTAGAATAGTCGAGCCCCAAGAACAAAACATGTACGCATGTATCAAATATTTCATGATGTATTTTGGTTATATCAAAAACACTTTGTATCTCATACGAGCTCTACACTTAGAATCCTACAGGAAGCGGCTCAAGGGCCAAAGCACCTCAAAATACTCGGGGATTGTCACTGACAGTCAATGCATCCAAGTCACTAGAAATTCATATTCATAAGACCTCAAAGAGGCACCCTCTTATAACAAAGGCCAAGGCCAATATACTCAGGGACTAACTTTACAAACAAGTTCGGAAAGTTATTGGGAAACAAGTTCAAGTAACAAACCCGAAGACTACGGCCATACTAAAGACTACTGTCACATAAAGGCTACGGCTAAAATAATGTGATTCGGAGACATCCGACTTCCGCTGTAAAATTAAAAGGCTTTCAAACATTAAAAAACTGGTTAAGTCAGGCTACTCGCGACAAAAACAAAATGTAAGGGGACTCGATAAATTCAGTCCCCGAAAGATCTAATGGCTTCAATAAGTTAGCCCTCAAATATCCAAAAGCTTCGATTAATACTAGCCTTCAAAAAAAACTTAAGAGGTATTCGATTATGTCTACACAAACTAAATGAATAATAAAGTTCTGATACGTCGAGCCTTCGGAAAACCCAACGGGTAAAAAAACACATGCTAAGGCATAACAAAAATTTCACTAAGTTTTTTAGCCGAAATTAGGGAAAAGTTATATAGCCATTTTAGATGCTGAAACGACCCAATTTAAAGAGCCGAAGGGCCAAGTTCAAAAGACCCTAAGGGCCAATTTTAAAAGAGCCTAAGGGTCGATATAAAAGAGCCTAAGGGCCAGCTTAAAAATGACAGAGGGCCAAAAGC